AGAAATAAATGTGCTCTTTTGGGGATTCATAGTGATGATTGAACCCAAGGACACTGTACTATTGTGTTGCAGCTCCAGCCCTTTTCATTTTTACTTTTATTTCTTTATTTCTTTATATTTTCTTGGGGAAGGGTCTACAGGGTGTTCAGGGTCTCACTACTAGATCAGACTCATGGTGGTCCACCTGTTTACAGCCTCCCAAGAGCTGGGATTACAGGCGCATGCCACCACGCCCAGCCTCAATTAGCTGTCTCAGTGCACTCTGGGGGTGGGGCCAGCAGGGCAGGCCTGGAGATCAAGCCCACAGTCCTGCACCTGCTTGCAGATGCTTTAATCCTCTGAGTCATTTGGCCAGCCCTCATTTTTACTTTTGAGACAGAGGCTCACTAGCTTTCTCAGGCTGGCTTTGAACTGTCAATTGTCCTGTCTTAGAAACTAGAACAGTTGGGACTATAGCCCTGTACTACCACCTCCTTCTATTTAAATAGTTAAAAGAATTATATTAAAAAACAATTATATTTACAAGGCATAAAACTGCTTCACATATTATACAACACATAGATGGCACATAAATCAATTAAAATGCATATTCCTTATGAATATAAAAGTGGGGGTTGAACAAATAGCTCAGTGGATTAAATCACCTGCAAACAGGCACAGGGGCTGGTAGTCTGATCCCCAGGGTGCACTGAGATGGCAATGGAGACTGGGTGTGATGGAGCGTGCCTGTCATCCCAGCTCTTGGGAAGCTGTAAACAGGCAGATCACTATGAGTCCAATCTAATAGTGAGATCCTGAACACCTTGTAAACCCTTCCATAAAATACAAAAAAAATTGAATATCTCCCTTAATTTTCTATAAATATCTTGTAAACTCATTGGAGTTTGATCTGCTTGATTCTAAACATTGCATATAAGTAGAATGAGAGTGGTAACAGCAATTGTTTATAACAACTGCAAGTAAAGAATCTTCTTACCGTAGAAACATTTGCTAAAAGATCATAATAGCGAATGAAAAATATAACGTTTTTATAAAACCATAATACATATTTCAAGATTAAGAATCAGGAGTGTTTTCTTGCACTCCTGTTATGATTTGTGTCTAAATGTCTACCTAAAGCCTAATTCGATCATGGGTGGGGATTTTTGGAGATGGCTGGATCTGGGGTATGTGGTTCTGAGAAAAAGGCTGTGATGCTTGGATTGGTTCACAGCGTGACATTAGTATTAAGGGTGCCCCACATGGGTGGCAGTGCCCCCTACCCTGAGGGCTGTAGTCTGGATAAAATATAAGGGACAGAAAGAAGGCTGCTACTTGTCACTTGTCACTTGCTGCTGGCTGCTTCTGTGCCACTTTGCTGCCCTGCTGTCTGTCCTGAGACATTTCTCCTTGGGATGCCCCTCTGCCTTGCCACCCTCCCTTGCAGCCAGTCAATTATGGGATGAAACCTACACACACTGTCAGCCAAAAGACGTTCCTTTTATCAACAAAAGTAATACAGACGTTGTCCTGACCATCACTGAAGAACACATTTAAACTGATCCTTTAAAAAAATCATACATTATACAAATAACTATGATACATGGAAAGCAATAATCATTAAAGAATATATAACTACCTAAATATATCTAGGATAAGGGAAAAACATTTATTTTAGTTTATAGAACATAATGTATATAGAACATAATACAATTCCTGTGGAATTTGGTGTCCGTACATAACACATCTCACTTTCTTTGTTCAATATTTGCACTTGCTCCCTCCTCCTGTCTTGATTCTTTTCATTTTTGTATGCATGCTTGCAGTGCACAGTGCATATTTTCCTTGTATGGATTTAATACATGTACATAAAAACATCCTAGTTCATTTTATTTCATCTTTTACCTTTCCCCTCCCCCTCTCCCTCTCTTGGTATATTCTCAAAGTACATCCATTTTCCTAAAGATGATTAAGTTCTCTCTTTGGAATGTCAGAGGCCAACTTTCTTGAATGTAAGCAGCACATTTTCTTAACCCCCTGTTGCTGGTCATGTGGATCACTTCCAGGATTTAGATGTTAGGAACTATGCTGCTATAAACATTAGTATGTATACATTTATCTTTACAATAGTATACATTTAACTCTTTCAGGAAGATACCTAGAAGAGTTGGGTCAAATAGAATTTCTACTTATAGTTTTTTGAGAACTCTGCGTACTGATTTCCATAGCAGTTATACTAGTCTACTTTCCCACTAGCAGCATAGTAAAGTTTTTTCTCATGCATTCTCTCTAGCATTTATTATCATTTAACTTTGTTATATTAGCTGTTGTTTCTGGAGTAACTATTTTTAATTTGGATTTCTCTAGTGGCCAGTGATAGTGATCATTCCTTCTTCAATTAATTGGCCATGTGAAGTTCTTCTGTGAAGTATCTAGTCAATTCAATAGCCCACTTTTTTATTGCATCCTTCTTAAGGCCATACACTATGTTTTAGTTCTTTGTATATTCTAGATTGAGTTTCCTGTCTAAAGAATCACTGGCTATTTTGTCCCATTCAATAGGTTGTGATCTCAGGAACAAAATTCAGGAAGGTAGCAGGATAAAAAAGATTAGCACACAAAGATCAATAGTGTACCTGTGCACTGACAATGAATCCACTGAGAAAAACATCATTCATAGCAGGACCAGGAAACATTAACCTAACGAAGGAAGTTGGAGAACTCCACACAGAAAAGTACAGTGTTGTGAAAAAGGAAATGGAAGAGCACATCAGAAACTGCAAATATATCTCCTGTTCCAGGATATCTGGAACACATACAGTCAAAATGGGCATACTTCCAGTGTTGATGTACACAATTAATTGTTTTCTCCATAAAAATTCAAGCAACAATCTTAATAGAACTGGAGGAAATGATTCTATAATTCATATGGAACAAGAAGAGACCCAGAATACAAAAACAAGCTGGGTAAAAAGAGCATACCACGAGGCTTCAAAATCCCACACTTGATGTTCTGTCACAAAGACATTATAATAAAAACTGCATGTTACTGGCACAAACAAATAGCACTCACATAAACGAAGGAACAGAGAGGGGAATCAATGGAAGAGAATAAAGGATGCAGAATAAATGAAGCGAATAGAGTATCCAAGTACATTCAACTATTTGATCTTCGACAATTGGGCCAGAAACACACACTGTAGGCAATGTAGCTTCTTTAAAAATGATGTTGTGAAAACTGTCTATGCACATGCAGAGGATTGAATATAGACTCATATTTCTTAACATGTACTAAAGTACAATCAAAATTAATCAAATAAATAAATGTTAAGCTAGAAATACTTGTCAGAAGACAGCATAGCTAAAACTCTTCAAGTCATAAATATAGGCAAGGATTTTCTGAGAACTTTGGTTGCACATGAATTAGTTCAGAAACCAGCAAGAGCAGCATATTAAATTAAAAGGCAATCTTGAATACATAAGAGTAGGCACAATGTTCATGAACAAAAACCAAACTGCATGAGAAATACTTCAAAGAATCAACAACTGGAATCTCATGTTTTTGAAAAGATTCTGCCTGTGAAAAGACATCACCAACATAATAAAAAGAAAACCCATGAATTGGAAAAATTTTTTAGCTTATTGTCCCTCAGACAAAGGACTTCTATCTAGAATATATAAAGAATTTCAAAAAATCAGGCTCCCAAATTTCCAAGACCCAATCAAAAACAGATTTAGGTTGGAGTACACATTTCTCAGATGAAAAAATACAGATGGAAAGTAAATACATTAAATAATCTCCAACACCACTGGTTATTCAAAAATTGCAAATTCAAACAACACTGAGATTTCATCTTCCCACAGAAAGAATGGCACTCATTAAGAAGTCAACGAATAACAAATGCTGGAGGGGCTGGGGGAAAGAAGGAACCCTTCTTCACTGTTGGTGGGAGTGTAGAATGATACAACCGCTATGGAAATAAGTATGGAGATTCTGTAAAAATTTAGGATTAGAGGTCCCATTCAACCCAGCTATTTCCCTCCTGGGTATCAACCCAGCTATTTCCCTCCTGGGTATTTTTCCAGAAGAACTACAAACATCATATCACCACAATATATGTGCACCCATGTTTATAGCAATGTAATTTGTCATAGCTAGATCTTGGCAACTACCCAATGGAGTGTTACTCAACTACTAAAAAGTTAAACTCAAGGCTCTCATAGGTAAAGGGATGCAACTAGAGACCATACTCACAACTGAAATGAGTCAGACCTGCATGTGTAAACATTTTATTGTCTCCCTAGTGTAAGAACCTGAAGGAGTAAATAAAATCTAAAAGGTACAACAGATATTGTAAAAAAGAAAGATACTGTTCAATGAGATAAAGATAAAACTCTAATTGAGATAAAGGAAATGAGAGGGGAAAAAAAGGAAGGGAAAAATGTGTATATGCATAGGGTGACTGGGACAATTGTACTGCTGATTTATGTTGGGTTAACTGAAAAGAACAACAGGTAACACTGAAATAATTGTATCGCGTCCCCCTCACACCTCAGCCTGTGCCACCCCTCCTGCTTGGGAGTCCAGGCATTATGGCCGATCCCCATGTGAGGCACATCAAGACTGGCATGGTAAAACAATTAGTCAAAGAAAAAGTGATGTACGGAAAAGAAGCAAAGCAACAAGAAGAAAAGATTGAAAAAATTAAAGCTGAAGTTGATGAAAATTATGCCATTAAAAAGCAGACAGAGATCCTACAAGAGTCCCAGATGATGATGCCAGATTGCCAGCGCAGGTTAGAGGTAGCACATACTACCTTTCAGCAGATATTAGAAGGTGAAAGGGCCGGGGAGATAGCTCAGCAGAATAAGCGCTTGCCTGGCAGCGCAAGAGCCTGAGTTCAATCCCTGGTCCGCGAAAAAAAAAAAAAAAAAAAAAGAGTGAGAAAGACTTGGAAGAAGCTAAGAAATAAAAAGAAGCATGTGTAGTTTTGGATTCAGTGAAGTTGTCTGAAAATTTTCTGTACAGACTGTTGTTGCATTAAATCCTGGGGTCCATTCTACAGTTCATTATTTTTACCACTCATGGGTGTATGAGAATGTGATTCTTTTTGTGCAGTTGCAAATATTTTTCTTTGCATAATTTAATGCATCAAATAAATGAGTTCATCTAAAATAAATAAATTAATTAAAATACTTTGGTAAAGCAGAAGAAACATCCAAAGTAAAACTGATGGACATTTCAAGTAAAGCAACAAATAATCAGGAAAAATGATTAGTAAAAGTTTTAAAGAGGTATAGCTAGTCAAACTTAGTAACTGGAAAAAAAGCATACAAAACAATCCATGAAATTCCATTTTACCCCCGTCAGAATGGGAAAAACTTAAATGTCTGATGAGTTTATAAATTGGAATTTAGAATGTTGAGACTACCATATGTTAACTAGCAAGAATCAAAATTGGTACAACTGACTTGTAGGGTAATTTGTAAAGCTTATTGAATTTGAAGATGAGCATGGCCCAAAATTTGGTCTATTCAGATATTTAGTATTCATATATTAGCATACAGAAATTTTCATAATGTGCAAAAATTATTATCTCTAAAGATATTCACTATTACCTGGTGATTGGGAGGAAGACTAACCTCTGTAGGAAAACACATAAAAGAACGTTATCCCTGCCCAGAAAGAAATATGTAATTGTTAAGCTAGTCTATACATGTAAATGTTGCTGTAAAGGTCTTAGTCTTAGTCCACTGAAACAGAACGCTAGCACAACTAGTCAGGAAAAGCATACTTATTACAAAAGATAGGGACCAAATGTAAACAGAAAAATAAGACCCATGGTGAGTGCTACTCCCCTAAGGCTCAATGTGTCTTTCATATACACAAGAACTCTTGTGTGTAGATACCTCATGCTGCAAGATAGCTGAGTGACCCCAAAAGTCTTATTGGGTGCAAACTTTTGTATATATCATGTTCTAGGAACAATAAAAACTGTGGTTGTTCTGAGACTTCTCTCCTTAAGCAAGTATTTGAAGTCTCAGCTCATTCAACTGGAGAACTGTAAGCAGGGGAGGGAAGACATTTAAATTGCCCACTGCTTTATGAGACCTTTTCTTCTGCATTTATTTGTTTTAAAATAGCGTAAAGTTAAAAAATGTGTATGTGGGTATAATATAAATAAAACAATGACATACTTTTATACAGATTGAGGATGTAAATCTACCAGTTGGAAGCTTATTATTCTGCAAAGGAAGCCAACACCCAAATATCCAAATTTAGTGTCGTAATATCAGAGGCTTCTTTTTAATAGATATTAACTATTGATATTATATGATACTTTAAGTATTATTTTCTGTAGCTCTTTGAATGATTACAGAATATATCTGCTATGGCGTCATTGCCAAACCTAACATGTGGGTGCACTAAGAAGCAGCTTTTCGTCTTTTTCTTAGTACATGCTATGTTTTCCTGGCTTTGTACCTCTCAGGATTTGTTGTTATTGAAGATTGCTAATAAATTTAGCAACTTTGGATTCCAATTCCTCCCACAATATTTTCCTTTTTCTCTGTTTATTAATTATTCATTAATATTGTACTGATTTAAAATCTTTCTTCACAGCTATGTGGCCATTTGTCTCCAATTAGTCTTATTTATTTATTAATTCATTTTAGATTTTAATCTTTAAATCTTAGCGATCATCTTCTTGTGTGTATTACTTTGCTGGAGGCTGTACTCAAGCAGGCTGGCAAGTAGAATTAAACATCTGGCTGTTCTTAGATCTGCAGTCTGTGCTGCAGGACCTTTTGCACCTTCTCTGAATACGTTTCGTGGTCAGTCAGGCTTGTGTGCTTCTCTTGGGCCTTCTTTTCTGTCCAGCATATGCACATAAAATGTGGACAAGGATGTGGAGAGCACTTATATAAAGCTGTCTCACTTCCAGAATTTCCCTGTTAAAATTTTGGGCTATTTGGCAGTTTCTTTGGTTGCTCTAGACAGAGCTGTTCCCTCAGGTCACCAGAGAGCTGATCTCTGTTCACTTGCCACTGATACTTCTATGCTTGGGACTATCGAGTAGCCTAGGCATATCGGGCTGTGGGTTTTCCTGCTTACCACTCGAAATCACCGGTTGCATCAAAGCTGCGGGCTTTCCTGTCGATCCTGTTTTGGCAAACATGACTTCCTACAAATCTGACCCTGTAAAGCTGGGTGGATAGGAGGAGTTTCAGGAGTGTGCTTTAGAAACTTTCATTGTTCCTACTCAAAATTTTCTAACTATTCAAGAATGAATTTCTTCGTCCTTGATCAATGTCTACAGCTTCAAAATGTGTATTATTTTACAATTTTGTTAGATATATGTAGCTGGGTGTTGGACAAAACATTTGTCAACATCTTTAATCAAATTTATGGAATTTTATTTAACATATGCTTCTATTTTTATTGGCATATGTTTGCCAAACATATCCATCAAATAGGGAATTAGTCCCTGCACATACTATGTCTTAATTTTATCCCCATTCCCTTCAACTCTTCTATCATGTTTTTAAGTAGGATCAAATAACTGAAGGGATATCTAAATAGCAATATCATAAATTTTTTAAAACTCTTTACATTTTAGTATGATTAGTTTTCAAGGTAAATTAAAATTTCACTGGGAGGTGTTGACCATGTTTTATATTTTAGGACAATGTTTTTAGAAAATGACAGGACATAGGATTTGGGCTGAATTTATTAATTTATTGTTTTCTTCTCCTACAAAGCTCTCTTTGTTTTAATTATGATCTCTGCACTTTGCTTTAAATCCATAAATCCATTACTCTCTTCAAAATCTGCCTCTACTCCACAAAACAGAAAATAATAACATGGATATGGTATTCTTAGTCCACTAATTTCACGTTAAACATCAAGCTGTTGTGCTTGGTCTTGGCATGTCACAGCAGGCCTGGGCACTCAACCGTTTATTTAGTGTCTAGTGCGGTATTTCCCAGCAAAAGCAGAAGAAAATATTGAAGTGCTGCACTTGAGCTGCCGTTTGGCTTGGAGATGTTATCAAGAGTAATTTCTGTTTGCCCTATTGACAAGAAACTCTACTCAATAGCCAGGAAATGTAAATTTTCCCAGGTCAGAGTCCTTGTTATCTGATTCTACTTCTATTGATCTGAGTACAGTTTAAGATTTATTTTTCTGTTGTATGGGATGTCAAATGCAGCAGACAATTTGTATTTGATGGTAAAGTTTTAGCATTCTTCCAGATGTATAATGATGGATTTTTTGTTCATCGTAGACAGTTATTAATAATTTTTAATATATTATGATGAGGAAACCAAATAAAAAGTTAATGATCTTCAGAAATCAAAATAAAGCATTTATTTTAATATATTTATGTGCCACTGAGTTCAAGGAATTTATAATGTGACCTCTGTGCACAAGCACTACATTAAACAAACAAACAAACAAACAACCTGTCCAAATGGTCAGAGGTTTAAAAAAATAGAAACACCTTTGCAGGGTGTTTATGGAAACATATTGTGCAGACTTTCCAAGATTAAAGAGAAAAATTTGTTCAAGTCAATGAACCTAAACTTTTTGTTTCATTAGCCACAGATCAAATTCATGAAAAAGGGCAAAATTACACTTGTGCAGACAAAATGCCCACAAATGGCTTTGCAATAAGGGCAGCAGGTAATTTTTGAATATAAACTAAATATGTGTAACAAGATATAAAGTGCCATATTTGTCCACCCACTAATAATTATATATGAAAATGTTATGCTGATATGGCTTTTGCATAATGTCTTAACATGTTATGAGGACATAAATATTGGCTGACCTGATTAAATGTCAGATTTGCTATTTTTGTACTATTATACAGCTAAATTTTTTTTCCCCCTTGTCTGGCATAGGACTGCATTTCAATGTAAAACACAATTAGTAAATAAGTATATTGATGGGCTTTATGCTAAATGCAGCCAAGCAAAAAAAGATTCAACATGCCTGAAAAGAAAGAAAATTATTATTTTTCAGTTTATTGGCAATCTTATAATTAGCATAAAAGCACATTCACTTTTATTTTAATGAAATAAAAATGATGTAATGAAGTAAGTGAAACAACTGTGCATAAAATTTTAAATCTCTCTAGGGTAGCTTTCCTTTCTTTAATTTTTTAAATGGGGTAATACATGAAAATGCCCTTCAAAAAACTGCTGTTAATACAAACCCATTTGTAATATAACAGACACTACATTACATGATAAAATAGCATACAACAAAAAAGTAGTTTTCCACAGGGCAGGTATTATACTAGTGCCTTACTTTTATTAAATTATTTGAACTTTCATTACTGCTATAATTTAGACAATAGTAACTATCTTTAACCTTTATTTATTTATTTATTTATTTATTTATTTATTTATTTATTTTGGTGGAACCGAGGATTGAACTCAGTTTCTTGCACTTTCCAGAGAAGCACTTATTCCACTGAGCCATCTCCCCAGCCCCTTTTATCCTTACTTTAACGATGACCAATTGGTAGTACAAGAAAATTCAAATAACTCTAAACTGATAGGAAGAAGATTCAAGTCTGGGCAGTTTGTGTTTGCTTCCATTCTCCCCGGCACTGTATAATATTTGTAAATACTTACATCTACTTTACTAATCTTTTAAAAAGCAAGATGAATTATTTTTATGAAAGAAAACACTGCATTAACAGCACAAAAATATTTCCTATTTTTCTTGGTATTTATATTAGTACAGCCCATTTCATGGCTGAAGATATTAGGAAAACAAATAGCGAAAGGGAGGATTGGGGAGATAGAATTTTTTTAAATTTTTGATTACATGAAAAATACACATATCACTTGTCTGTGGAGTGGGCAAGACAAGGGTGGAAGTATTGAAACAGGGAATTCAGTTCTCTTTTAAGTTTAATAGTTTCCTTGCATATGTAAAATGCAGAGCTAAACTTTACAAAGA